AGAGAACGAGAGAGAGAGTTCTTAAAAGCGGAAGACGTACGCCCGCTGCCCCGTCGTACGATGTAGGTGAACCATGCATAATGTCGTGGCCACATTACCTTTCGACGACAATCTGCTCTCTCCCTCTCGCTCTTTCTATTTAGCCGTCCTTTCTCTCTCTCTCTCTCTCTCTCTCTCTCTCTCTCTCTCTCTCTCTTTCTCTCTCTTGATTTCTTCTCCGCATTCATCTCGCTCATTCTCTTACCCGAGCACTCACTCGTTCGCTTTTCTCTCTTCACCTGGCAGACGTGTTTATGCGTGTGTTTACGAGAAAGAAGAAGATAGACGTTGAGAGAGAAAAGAGATCAGAAGGAAGGAAAGGGGAGGCAGGAGAATGGTTTTAACAAAGGTCGGTCTGCCACGCACTGCGCGACAGCCAGCCATTGACATCGATGGGCTCTGGGTAAGGAGGACTAGATTTCACGAGCCAGCGATGCAAGATCCTTCAAAGGGCGCCGACGAGCTGCCGCAAAAAGGATTCGCAAAAAAAAAGGACGAAGGGAGAAAGAGAGAGAAAGAGAGAGAGAAAGAGAGAGAGATGGAACCACCATGGCCGCAGAAAGGGGGCAGGCTTCTTCTTTAGTTAATGCTGGCTTCCGCGCACCCTTCGTCGGAGAGAGAAAAGACGAGAGCGAAGGGGGATCAGGCGGTCGAGGCTAATAGAGAGGAAGAAGACGAATAGGAGGAACGCGCGAGGGGCGAGGGAGGGGTGCGGGAAAAGGGCGAAACTACTTGACGGCAAAATCCATCGCGATAACTTAATCCCGGGATTACACTGCGGTTAGGTATCCGCGCGGAAATCCGATCGCGCGCGCTTGACAGGATCCTACGAGCGCGTTGCGAAGGTACGCGACTGCTCCGTTTCCGGTTTCTCGGCCGATCTTGCGAATCATGACCTCTCCGCTGTTGCATGATTAACGCGAGGATTATTCAAGCGATAAAGCCGATAATAAGTCGAAATCTTGTTAATTGGATGTAATTGCGCGTGGAAGTATTATTCATTAAATTTTTGTCACGTAGCATTTTACGCGGCTGCATCTTGCGTTTTGGGAACGTCATCGGTAGAGAGATTTCCATATCAAAAAGCATCCACTGTTTCTAGGTCTCTTAATTTATATTCAATCGATCGTCATCGTCGCGAAATTCACCGTCTAAAATGCATGCACATCGACCGCGCGGCACTTGTATTTTGAACCAGCCTGTTATACGCACTTTCAGGCAGGCTCAAGTTAGCGATTAATTGCAAACTAAAAGAATAGCTAGTAAGTAAGTAATTGTTTGGTTGGCGTTACGTACAGTACTTACAAAGCCGTGCTTGTCGCTGATGTTGTTGGTGAGCTTGAGCTTGTGGAAGCTCACGACCTTCTGCATCCACTGCTCGCCGCTGCTCGGCGAGTCCGGATGTATGTACATCCTCTTCGGCATTTCCGGATCCGCCTTACCCGCCACCATCCACCTACTGCTCGCAACACCCATAAAAATATATTAGAAAGGTCGCCAGGTGCAGTTCGTCGGCGCGTAACATGTCTCGACAACGATGAAGATGCGACGAGATGATTTTCATCGTTATCTAAGACAAATCGGTTTGGATCGAAACGCAGACCAGTAGAGTGAGCTACAATTTATGTCAACGTCAATTTTTTAATATTTAATTTCTTTTACGCCTAAAAAAAAAAAGAGGATCTACGAGAAATTGTTATATAATTGACATCTTCTGTCTCTCAAACGCAAAACGGCTAGATAAATTATAATCTGTTCATTATAATTTATCGGTTAATTTGTATTCAACGTTTTATCTAGATTCAACCGTAATTTTCGATCAGAGATACAAGTTTCGAAGCCGCAATAATCAAATAATTTTCTGGCAAGATAGCAACTTGTCTATGCATCTTTGCACGCAAGAACGAAACCGATGATCGAGCCGAAAGGAGGATCGAAGTGCCGGTGTTCCTTGTTAGCTCGAGTAATTTCGCCCGCCGCGAGCATCAACCGGGCGCGATTGTTGTCTTTTAAGGGAGGCGTGTCCACCGTTCGTAGTCTCTTCTCGTCGTCGCAGGTGGGTCAAACTCGAGCGCGAAAGACCGAAGGAAGAACTCGTTCGACGAGTTCCAAAGTGGCTGCGGTCGCCGGCGTGATGTAATCGTACATTGTGGTCTGCGTTTCGATCGTCTGAGCGGCCGGTATCCGAGATGCCTCGCGAGAGTTTTCTGAGAGGTGGAGTGCGCGCGGATTAATCTTTCTGTCGCGCGAAACGACTCGAGATCCGTCGCGAAAAAGTTTCGCGCGCGACCGTCGTAAAGTGCGCGAAAATACGCCGAGGAAGAAACAGGTTGTACACTTTTGCGGCTACGTAAATATTTGTGCCGGGCTGAATTCAAGAAAAACTCTTGAGTGAACATGAACAGCAAATACGTGGAAATTATTTTTTGAATCGCGAGCCGCGATAAAATATTAATTGTCGTCAACGCGTGAATATTCATAGTTTTTATGAAATAATTTTATTTACGGAATATATTGTGAATTTTGAAAAATACAGCGGTATGAAATTTGCAAGGCATCTCGGTTAACGAATGTGAAGGCTTGCGATCCCCATACAAGTCGAAATAATTTCCCATCCCCCTAAATGGCACTTCTGCGAGAGAATCAAACATTCATTATATTTTAAGATATTGCTTCATTCGGGACAGCGCACAAATATAAATATTCATTAATTAAGCATCCACGAATGGATTCTTGAAGCATTGTTTATAATTGATTTTTCGCACGCAAACAATGGGATGTTGATCAGCAGTGAAATGTTGATTTTTACGCACGGCGGAACAAATTAATTCGATTTAATAGATAATCACGATAAGGTGCACCGTATTACAAACAAATTATTTTCGACGAGTATGAGGAATTGTTCGCAGCGCACGCTCCACACTTATTTCAGGAGAGTCTCCTGGTAAAACTAGTGTCATTCGATCAAGACCGATCTAGGATCATTATCTCTAATTCCGAAAAAATTATCCCAAAAGTACTTTCTACATAAAAAAAAGAGAAGTGTCTAATTTTAATGAAATGTATCTCCCAATCGCCCAAACACTACTTAATTTGAAATTCAAAGGGAAAAAAAAAATGATCCAAGATCGCTTTGATCGCGCAGGGTCAAGGATATCACCTGTTGTGAAATTTATATCGGCATTCGTCTGATGCCACGATGTCCATTAGAAGTATGTAGCTAGCCTGCTTGTCTAACCCGAACACCCTCACTTTATACGCGGGAAACATGCGTCTGCGAACAATTTTGCAATCGCAAAAAAGACAAACACAGCATACATTAGTTTTGCCGCTCGTTGCTGGGTTTCTTTATTGTTCCCAACGGGAACTGTGCATAAAGTTTATATTTTTCACATACGGCGCTCTTTGGGGCGGACAACCGACCTTAAGAATCTCAATAGGCGAAAAATTCAAAATTCTTTTATGTTAAATAAACATTTTTCTTAAATATTGAAAATAAAGAAGATAAAAGTGTCGAAAGGCCGCGCATAATGCGATTCAGGCAACGCTCGAGATCATTAACACGAGCTGTCCGCGATAATTAGACGTTTACGAGTGCCTTCGCTCTCCCTACACCCCCAAAACCTCTACCTGTTGTGGAACTTGTATCTGTAGTCGTCGGCGGCAACGATGTCCAGCAGGAGGATGTACTTGGCCTTGGCGTCCAGACCGGAAACTCGGAACTTCATCTGAGGAAACATCTGCCTAGACCCCCGATCAACATGTACATTTCGATTAGATTGCTTATTCGATTAAACGAGCTAGCTTAGACTATCATGCAACTCGCAGTCATCGTGTCTTATCTTAGATTCGCATCGCTCTCGCATTTCATTTTAATAATTAGAAAACAGCACACTATTCTCGTATATGATGCTGAAAATAATTACAAATATTTTTTTTAAACAAAAATAATACCTCATATATTCGCCCAAAATTAAAATGTTAAATTTAAATTTAGAAAAACGCAATTCGTGATAAAAATGGCGGTTTTTCTCGAGGTCTCTGCTGAAACAAGCTCAAGCGGCGAATCGTACGCACTCCGAGAAACGCGCGACCACGAGTCACGTCGACGACACCTGGTAGAATCCTGAAAGGTCGGAATAGAAACGTGCACGAGTCAATTCTGACCGCTGTCAGACTCTGGCTTCCGAGGCACGTTCCCTGGAATAAAAACCGGACCCCGTTTCCCGGGCTAAAGGCCGACGACGGCCGTGCTGCTGCCGCATCCCGGTAGCGGCGGTCGTCCGGGTGCTCAGTGCGCGTCGAGAAATTATATTCCCTGGACGAAGAAGAGGCGCACCGGCGCCGTGAGAGACCTGGAAAATCGTCGCTCGGAATCGTGTTTTTTCGGACGAAACACGCGATCCACCGCCATGTAGCTGGTTCTATAATGAAAGTTACGCGCAATCGTTGTTTTTCTCGAAAAGAGTCGAGCGTCGAGATTCCACACGAAGGATTACGCTGCAAGCTGTAACTGTCCTGCACATGTGCTAGTTATAAAACGCGAAGAGATTGCGAACTTTTAATGCCGTGAAATACTCCCTCGAAAAATCGAGAAAAAAGAACCAAAAATTCCTGTCAAAGGTGCATGCACATTCTGATTAATTAATATCAGTATACACATTAAAATTTATCAAACTCGGTAATATTTAATTCGAGAATCTTATTACTTCAAAATTAATTACGATCCAATGGATTGCAATGGTAGAACGATAGACACGATTTAATGATAATTTTTCATACGTTTACTCTATTAATGTATGCATTAAAAAGTGCTCGACATTATTTATAACGGTCCAATATTCTAATAGCTTTTTTTGTAAAATACTCCCAAGTTCCATCGCACGAAGTGTAAAGACGAAGATATTTAAAAACAGCTGTTACACCCTTAAACTAATGGCACACTCCAATGTAAGTAGTTTCTCACGGCTACATTATAACGAAAAACTCCATTATCGTAATTAGGCGCCATAAACTCGTCAAGTCTAAGAACATTAACAGACCAAGACATTATGACGTGGTTGGAGACGATGCTATATATGACAAGACGTCTCGGTATGTTTAGGTCTGCACCCTATAATAAGTAGTCGTTAACGACAACAAAGAAAATCTTTTCGGTCTTTTGTCTCTCGGTTCAAGGCCAAGAATGCACCTGACCTGTAAGAACGCACCTGAATTGCAGTTAGTTTTTAACAAGTCATTTACATTCGCCATAAATTACGTGAAAATAAACAAATACTAGGAAATGTATTTTTAACTTTTAATATTTTTAAATTAAATTAAATTAAATTAAAAAATAGAAAATAATAGTGAAAACTATTCGGTAAATGTTTATTTTACGAATTATGTCAAAATTGAAAATGTATTCATCGGGGCAGAGTTTTGCAAAAATTCCAAAGGCTGCTGCAGGTATCGATCGAAGGCTACTCTCGAGTAGGGCCGGTCCGATCGTCTCGCGATGTCAAAGGTATCATGAAGGAAGGTAGCGGCATGCTACAGGGATTTCTGGTAGCATCTGCCTACTGTCTGTCCGTTGAGAAGACGCGCGTCTCCGGTCCCTTGTCGAAATTTTGGGCGCGAGCGAGAAAGAGAGGCAGGATCGGCTCGGCGGCGCGTATTCGCTCGCGATAAACGAGACGACATCGTTCTCATTCACGTCGAAGAGGACACTAAGCCGGATTATCCGCGCTATGTGAGCCAAAATATCCCGCGGGAGGACGCGCGAACGAGAGAATCCTCTGACGAGCGTGGCGAAACGAAATGCTGTCGGCGCTCCATCGCGAATGCCCCGCGGAATACGCGGATGCCTTTTATCTGACGGCCGCGTGATTAGTCGATTACATAACAGCCACTGAAATGCCGCTTCTATAGTCGCGCCGCGCGAAACGTTCTGTTGTTTTATTATGCGCCGCGTCTGCGGTGTAAAATTATTGACACTGAAGATAAATTTATAATAGCGATTCCACGTTGAGTCGCCTGGGTACGTCTTGTATAATTCACAAGACTAGCACCCACAGTTTCAGCAACGTCGCTAATTTAAGAACAATTAACAGGCAAGAATGCAGACGGACGCGTTGCAAAATTCTGACAAATATTAGCGCAACCGTCACACGGCATTCAATTGATTTGCACGCGCATCATATTAATCGGACACGAATGCGTCACTGTGTGTGTTTTCGATCGATTAAAAAATCAGCTCGAAACGTGTAAACAGCCATTTCGCCTCTAATATATATTCATACCTCTGGAATTAATTACCGCGCGGACACATAAAACGATGCCGACATGATAATGGTACTCGTGGAATCTGAACGCAGGCTTTGGAATCATATTCAGCATCCAGTGTTTTATCATTTAAAGATCACGGAGAAAAAAAGAAATAGCGGATGTATGTTGTCATGTTGAAATCATACGAAGGGTTAAATGCCATCCGGTCGCCTCGCATATCATAGAAGTGAGCGCGGCGTCGATTTCTCGCGTCGCGACGCGATCTCTCTTTCGTCGCACATAACGGCTGCGGCGTAGCCGCTAATGAGCGACACAATATGAATGAACAAATTATGGGCTGTCGTTGTCGCCGTACGAAGCTGCAGAAAGCTGTAAATCGTCCGATAAAAACGCCTTTGAGAGCTCCCGCTCTCTCGTCGCCACGCTCTTTCGACGAGAGACGTATCGCTACTCGAAACCATAACTCGAAACGGCCCGATAAGACACTCGCCACTGTTCGAAAGCAGCTGTTTCGTCTGCCGACTGACGTACGCGACTACTTCCTTCTCAAATTTAGGACACGTCGATCGGCCTGGACCATCACGCTGTTGTGATAGGTGAAAGATATCGAAGCAACGTGTTTTCTTTTATACGATCTTCTCATTAGTCTCTCACTTTCTACGTAATAAATTGCGAAAGTGGAATAAATTTTACCTACAGCACATAAAATGTGTCTTTTGTTTATATACACATATAAATATCATCACGTTTCAAATATTAAAATATATCAATAAAATATATAAATAAAATAGTAAAAAAATAGATGTCAGAATTTGAAAACTTTTTTAAACTTGTTCAATCAGAGAATTCAATCAAAAGCAAAAGTTTTTTTTCATAAGAAAGAGCATATACTCTCGATGACATTCCTCAGAAATCCGAGAAATCGTCGTCGGGCGCCGCTAGACTTTAATAGCCATTCAGCTGCCATGCGCACAGATTACGGGAAAGGGCTTTCGGGATCTCGAGAGATCGGGGTCCTACGACCGCGGTCGAGTCATCAGAAATATTTATCGACATCGGGTACGACCCGTATCCTCATTACGGTTTATGTTACTGCCGGAGAGAACAAGAAATTAGGTGCCAGATCGAGCGTTGTTGTTGTTGACGCCGCATCAAAGTCTATGCGCCGGCAATAATACTAAAAATTAGATCGTAAAAAAAAAAGCGATCGCGGACGCGCGATAAATCGTATCCGAGGAAATTAATAGGATCTAGGATACGTTTCTCGGCCGGCTTTTTTGTGATTTTTATTTTCAGATTCACCGTGATGATGACAAAAATTGCGCAATCTTTCAGAGGGTTGAATAAAATTCATTTATATCAATTTTCCAAAGAGCAATATAAATTACACGGTATCCTGCTACGTTAATAGTCCGTCGGTTGCGCGAGAACAAGTGAGAGTATGACAACTTTGATATAGCAATCTGTTAAGCATTAAAAAAAATGAGTTAGCGATAGCGATCGCGCAACGAAGAGCGTGTGAGCTCTTCGTTTCGCGACAGCGTTTACAATCGCACGCTATATATTTTCTCATTCATATATGTACGTCGCTACACCTACTCGGCGATTATTACTATTAAATATGTAGCATGCGCGCGACGGCACAATTACACCTGGAGAACGATAACGGCGGTATCGCGGCGGTATCACGCTATGATTGATTCCGAAGGTAAATCGCGCGATATAAAGCGGAATAGAATACATAAACCGCGGTAAAACGGACGACTTCGCGAAGCACCTGCTTCGTCCGACATTCGATCGTTCGACGTTCGTTCCTCGTTTGTAATTCATCGTCCCGCTACAATGTTCAAAAGGCTTTACACATAGCGATCTCTCTTTCCCGCTCTCTCTCTCTCTCTTTCCTTTCAGCTCGCCGTGTCGGTTTATTCCCATATGGCATATGGTGTACTCTTATTTTCGAGACTTCCGATCGATGTGCAGCGCGAATTTGTATCGCGGATACCATCGCTAATAACTTGCGAGATGCTAATCTTTTTTAATCGCTATAATTTATGTTTCTTTCCGCTTGCGCAGCGGAAGACGATGATCGCAATTATAACCGATTAAACAGGTCTATCTTTTGATAACAATGCCTGATCCTGACAGATTAACTGTTGCTTTACGTGCCTCATAATTTAATTACAATTAGCATATGTAAATGCCGCTTGAATTAATTGCATTATAAATATTAATTAAATATGTGTAGATATTAATTATAGATATAGAAACGCGGTAAACTGTGCATTTTTATCATTTCGGCTCTTCAAACATTTCGATCGTTTTAATTGAACATCGTGGATTCTGCGCGACGACACTTCCTCTCCTCTCCTTTACTCTGTCTCTCACTCTCGTCGCATTTCGCCTAGCACATGCGGAAGTGGTCTGCCAGTTTCGGGTGTAACCGCAGAGATGCACTTCCGGGACACCCAGTACATCCA